AATTCATGCAAAGCACTATGGCTAATCAGAAAAATACTGAGGCTTCATTCGGAAATATAGAGACCTAGATAGGTCAACTGGATAAACAATTATTCGAGCAGCAAGGAGGACAGTTTTCAACTAACACACAAACCAACCCCAGGGAGCAATGCAATTCAATAACTATAAGGAGTGGAAAAGTTGTAGGTAAGGAGATTGGTGACAATATAGTTGTTGAAGAAGAAGTTTTGGTAAAAGAAGATGAAGAGCAAGAAGAGCAGAATAATAAAGAAAGACATATCTCTAATAAGAAGAACGAAGAGGGAGAGAAAAAACAAAAAATAGAAAAAGGAGGGAGTAAAAAACCATTTGTAGAGAAATTACCGTATCCCAAGGCTCCTTCACAGATAGATAAAGAAAGACAGTTTGTAAGATTTATGAATATTTTCAAGCAATTACAAATTAATATATCATTTGTGGAAGCTATGGAGCAAATGCCAACATACGCCAAATTCATGAAAGAGCTCTTAACTAAGAAAAAAAGATTTACTGATGAAACAGTAAAGTTAGAGGCAGGATGCAATGCTATATTCCAAAAATCATTGCCTCAAAAGTCCAAAGACCCTGGAAGTTTCACTATACCAGTCACAATTGGTGAATTACCGGTGAAAAAATCATTGCTTGATTTAGGGGCCAGTATAAACCTCATGCCATTATCTATGCTCAAAAGAATAGGAGACGTGTAAGTAAAACCTACAAGAATGATACTGCAGCTAGCTGACAGATCTCTAAAGATTCCTCATGGAGTAGCAGAAGATGTTTTAGTTAGAGTGGATAAACTCATATTTCTTGTTGATTTTGTGATTATGGAAATGGAGGAAAATGAGGAAGTTTCATTGATCCTGGGAAGGCCATTTATGAAGACTGCCAAAGTAATTATAAATGTTGACATGAGCAAGTTGAAAATTAGAAGTGGAGATGATGAAGTTAATTTTAATCTGTTTGAAGCTGTACAACAACTGGAAGACAAGAAAGATTACCTCAGAATAGATACTTTGGAGGAATTACCCATCTCAACTGAAAAACAAGATTACAAGCATGTTGCACAACCCCAAAGACGTCTTAGTCTGACTATGAATGAAGTTATTCAAAGAGAGGTACTGAAACCTCCTGAAATAGGTATGATTTATCCAATCTCTGACAGTTGTAAGGTTATTCGCAATGAGAAGAATAAATTTATTCCCACAAGGACAGTCAAGGGATGAAGAATGCGTATATATCACCTTGATCACTCACCTGCTCTAAAGCAAATAGACGTCGAGCTAAAGACGTTAAACAAGTGCTCATGGGAGGCAACCTAATGTTTTGAATTTTTTTTTTCTTTTTGCAATTTAAGTTTTTTGTGCATTTTTCTTCTTTAGGTTCTTTCTTTACAAGATTGTTCCAGGTACACAGTGCAATTCTCCTCAAGACTTTGAAGCCTTACTTCAATGGCCTGGAGACAGTCCAACTTTTCCGGAGGGGGTGAGAAAGTCTGCAACTGAGGTTGATGTACAAGATAAGGAGTAGATGACAAGTGAAGAAAATAAGGGAGGAAACTTACTTTATTTTTAATGTTTTTAATTCCTTTGTTTTTAATTTAATATTTTTAATTGCTTTATTTTAAATTTGGAATTCCCTTGTTGTCCCATAATTTGTTTTAGAGTCATATATGAGATTATTGCTTATTGTCTAATTCAAATCTAGAACGTGAAAAATAATTTTGATTGTTTCCAATAACAAGTGATTTTGTGATATTGAGTATGATAGTGAAAAATAATTGATGAGGAAAATTAGAAATTAACTGAATTGGATAAGCTAGCCAAAATCCAGGTGAGCAGAGTACCACAAACAGATAAATTGAGTGTCAATACTTTATGATGATAACTGATATTGATTGATTCTTTGATGTGATTACATGTTGGCAAGACTTGAAAATGATAAAGGCTTTGTAGTAGATATAACCCATAGCCAAATAGCCAACCCTGCATTAATTATAGGACATTCATTTGAACCCCTTCTGAGCAAAAAATAATATTGTTTCTTAAACAGAACCCTTAAGCCTAAACACTATTTATCTACCTTCCTATATTTGAGAAAGGAAATGAGTATGAATGTCACTATTTTTCTTATTGTTGGGTATTGCTATTGTTGTCCTACGGGTATTATTAGGGTGTATTGTTAAAAAAAAAAAAAAAGGTGTAAAGAAAAAGGAAAAACAAAGCTTAAAAAAATTGGCAAAGCCAAAAAGAATACATGCAAAAACATGAAAAAAAAATATTTATTTATATAAATAATTCAAGGGGGGAATAATAACTTGTGAGATTATTAACTCACTGTCATTGTGTTAGGGACAAAAACATGAAGTTTGAAACCTGACTTGAGGAATTGTTATTCAAGAATCGTTCATATGAGTTGAATTTCTCAAATATTTTTGTATATCCCAAAAAACCCAATAATTTTTTCTTAGCCCAGCCCCATTACAAGCCTTAAAAGACCTTTTGATTTAAGTCTTGTTTAACAATTGTTGATTGCTTGAAGATGATTATCAATATTGGATTGTCTAAATGAAGTGATTGAATGAGATAAACACTTACCTGTGAGAATTAGAGATGGGTATATATAACTTTATTTGAGAGATCATGCTTCTCTGAGGATAGTTGAGGACTAATTATTCTTTGTTGGTTTCTATAACTTGAATGCTTATGTGTTCTATTTTCATTTGGAGTTGAGAGCATCACCTCTGAAAATTTTTATGATTCTGGAAGAGAAAGTGATAATAGGCGATGGTTTTGTTTTGGAAAAACTACTTTGCTTGGGACAAGCAAGATTCTAGGTTGGGAGAAGTTGTTAAGTGGTAAAAAGTTGATATAATTATGTCATGAATTGTTATGAAACCACTTAACTTATGTTAATTCTAATATATTTTTCTCCCAATATAGGATGAATTCGAGAATACCTTGATATAAGAGTAAGAAGCATAATTGTCAGGATAATTGGAGTAAAATTGAAAGAAAGAAGAACACTTAAGCGAATGAATGATGCGAGGCCTGACCCAAATTCTCTTATAAAAAGATAAGTGTGTTTTGAGAAAAGCAAGCAGTCTTGGAGAGGAGGAGGCACAACTACTGTTAGGGTTTTGTCTAATCTTCATTAATTCTTTACTTCTTCATCAATTAGAGCATTGTAATGACTAACATGGGTGACTAACTTCATTCTCTTAGGATTCGGTGCACTTCCTTTGAACTCTTTTGTATCATGGTGATATTTTGAGATATTAATCTATGTTTTGATGTTGTTATTATTATCTTTTATGCTTTGGAATGATTTATTCTTGATTGTTTGAGGTATGATTGGAAAATATATTTTGAACCCTAGATCACGGTAAGAATATTTGTTACGTTAATTGCCATGAATGGAATGAATGTATCAATTGATTAAACACCCTAAACCTAATGCTGGAAAATTTCTTAATTGTGTGAGGAATCAACATTTATTAGGTTTTCTTATGAATTTCATGTGTGAGGAATCAACATGGATGATTTGAGTAGGTGACATCAACATTGTTAGGTTAATTGACGTTCTTAATTGACATAGCCATTACAAAAGGAGATAAAGAAGGAAGTCAATCCTAAGCACCTTTAATTGATATTTTCTCAACAATTTACAGTTCTTTGTCATTTAATTTTAATTCAACTCTTATTTGTAAAACTCAATCTATTTAATCTACTTAGTAAGCATAATTGGAAATTTCCATTAAAATCGTTTCTCGTGAGATCGACTTTTATTTAATTGAAATACTATACTGCGATTGATAATTTTGGTACGCTTGCCAATAATTCAACAAACGTATTATCTATTAAACAAATTATTTTGTCAAATGATTTATATTTTGAAATCAATAACGGGTTGTATCTGTTAAAATATTGTTGTTTTAGATTTAGACTGTTTTCGAGAAATTTGGTATATTGCAAAATAGTATAGCATTGAAGTTAATCTTTTGCTTCTCTTTTTATTCATTGGCCATAAGATCCTACTCAACCTTTAGATATATAGTTTTGTACACAAGAATTCTTACACCTCCACATATTTATTATGGACGTTCTCATTAATCCTTTCGTCATTTTCATTTCCTACTAGTCATGGTTTTTTTGCTGCATATGATAATTGCAGCTTTATGTTTTTCTTGCTAAGTATATAACTTGTTACACGTGGTGTTTTTCAATCATATAGCTAATTTTTTTAAATTAAATGAGAAATTAAAACAAATTTTAAGAACTATAACCTTAACATTGCTAAAATTAACGCTAAGTTAAAAAATATTAAATTGTGTAAATAACATTTTTTTAGTTTTTATTTGACCCAATTGGTTTTTTAACTTAAAAAAACCACATAAATATTACGTATATTTTAAACCATTTAAGTTAAATAACCAAGAATTTCAACTAGCATTAATTAATAGCCCTTGTTGGACCTCATCAATGGAGAAATAAAAGCATATAATAATCGAAATTTAGGAAAAGATTTAGTGATTACATTTTGACATAATGACATGTTCTGGAATTTAAAGCATACATTTAACTCGATTAGATACGTGAGGTGTCTACACTAGTCTTTCAGCTAGCTGACAAAGACATGTCCAGAAGAAGAAGCTTATGCTGCATTCTCTGTCAAATACCACCTCCAACGTTGCTTCTCTCACTAAATGCATCCTCCTCATCGTTCAATTATCACTTGAAAATGTTTCACAAACGTCAAAATAACACAACCAAAACCTTATCTTCTTTAAAATTGCAAATTAATTCCTTTTGATTTTCTATTTTTCGCATAAAAACGAAGAACCTCTTCCACAATTACTGATACGGTTTCTGGATTCCTCCGAAATTGAACAAAATTAAATCAACAAAAAAGGTAAACCTTAGATCTAAATTTGGGATTCAGCAGAATCAGCGGTTGCTGCTGCTAAACAAACTTGTTAATGATTAGCTTGATACATACGCCCACCATTTGTACATGGCACATCCATAAACCACACTATAAACAATCACCCTTAGAGGAGAATGCGCAAACCTGTATCAGACAAAAAAAATTCCTCCATCAACATTCACTATTGTTCAAGTAATTCGATGGTCGTAAATAGTACTACTTTCTTTCTAATATGACTGCCAACCTTTCAAAAGTGAACAATTGTTATACAGATTGAACATGCTAGCAGTGAAGCGATTAATCGAACGAAAGAATAAACAAGAGAAAAAGGGGGAACCTTAGAAATCCAGATCCTTGGGCATGAGGAGAATTGGCCCTTTCCTCAGCAGTGACAGGGTAAGCCCAACGAGAGAAATCACGGTTGAAGTAATCCCAATCAGGAAGGAGAATCGCAGCAATCCCAAGAACACCAAAGACATAGGTGAGCATCATCTTCTTGAAAGAGTGGGTAAATATGGCAACCGCCAGAATAAGTGCTGCGAGCCAGAGAAGAGAGGTTCTGAGCACGGCGTCGTTTGCCATGATGTGGTGCAGTGAGTGGTGAGTGGCACCGCCAATATCAGTTTGTGAGAGGGTGTGGGAAAGAGTTGGGATTAGATTTTGAAGTTGGTGATGTGATGATAGTGAATGGGTCCATAGTTCACTCCATTACACAATTACAGCAAAAAGTAGTGACTGAAATGAAACTTTGTTAGGCGTATGAGCTTTAAATGCAATCCCAACGCTCCCCCTACTCTTCATCTTCTCTTTAATGTCCTCTCCTGCATCCACGTCGCCTTCGCCCATTCTCCTATTATATACTATTCTTCTTGCTCATGCTCTTCCACTTTCTGGGACACTCTTCCTCATACACTAAACATCACCGTCAGAATTTTCTTTTGTTTTTTTCACTTCTCAATCGTGATTTTACTCTTTCAATTAATATAACTAGTTAAATATACATGTATTAAGGTTGTTTACACAAGTATAGTTTGATATCTTAATCTTTAAATTAAATTACAAAGTTTTGGAAATCATACTCTCTTAGGATTATTGTTGTTGGTATGATATAAATCTTCGCCTTCAACCATATGATGAGGTTTAGGAGTTAGTTGTAATGGAATGATTGAGATATGTGAAGATGAACTTTAAATCATTATTTTAATTATTATTATTATTATTATTATTATTATTTTTAATAGTATTCTGCTGAAGGAAAATAATTACGGTTGAGGAAGAGAGAGCATACCACAAAAAGAATTTAAAAATAAAGAGATTTTTGTTCGTAAAAGAAAAATGTAATTGCAATCTTAAAAAAAAAGAAAAAAAAAAAGAGTTTGATAAATGCAACACGATGCACACTCCTATGAATTGAAAGCAGAAGTTCACGAAGAAGGATGAAGCTCATTTCAAAAGCTTGATCAAGAATGTATTACATCTCAAGGCTTGACATCTTATTGGCTGATAACTTCTTGTCAAAATTAGAGTATCAAATTCAAATTTTATAATTTTTTTTTGTGTGTATGGATATCCCTTTTTGTTAAGCCAAGTCATAAACTGAATATTGTCCTTATCTAAATATATATTTTATTAAACTTAATTAAGACTTATTAATTAGAAAAGTTCAATTTAATCATATATATTTTTTCACTTTTTATCAATTGATTTTATGATAAAACTTTAAGACTCACTGAAATCGAATTTTTTAAGTTTTGTATAATCTTGGATACACAATAAAAATATATTTTCTTCTATATTTAAAAACAAAAGTTGGAATTTCTTAAGTTTTGTATAATCTTGGATACACAATAAAAATATATTTTCTTCTATATTAAAAAAAGAAGAAGAAGTTGAAACTCTCCTCAAAGCAATGTTTGGAGCTTGCAGTAACGACATGAAATGGTGTGCAACGACATACGAGCTTTCGGAAAGAAATTGAAAGCAAGATGTGACGAAACTAAGAGAAAGAGAGGAGAGCGAAAGTGAAAATGAGAGAAATGGTGGTGGGGGAAGGGGTTAAGGTAGCTTAATTACGATTTTTGTTTTTAAAAATGGTGAGAGTGAACTTAAAAACAAGGGGTGTGGAATAGCAAAATTCTTTACAGTACTTTGTAAAGTTATTGGTCTACCATTTGGATTTGATTAAGCTCTTGTTCAATAGGCATGCCGTTGGCAAATTTTGTAGACACCTTTTTCTATACGTTCGTATTTTTTTATTTTTTATTTTTTCCTATTATATCCATCTAAAAAAATAATATTATCTTTAATCTAAATAGATTTTAGATTTGATCTAACGAAAATTTTTGGAAGAATAAATTCAAAATAATAATATATTTTTTAAGCTTTTGATTAAATGATCTGAAATATATAAAAATTTATATTTTTTAAGTTCTAATGGTGAATTCGTAAAACTTTTAAATTAATAAATTTGAGAGTGTTATAAAAACTTTCGGATTAGGAAGTTTTCCTAATCGAATAGAAGGACATTAGAGTAGGTTATTTTGTTATTCAATTACTGTTTACATAATAGAATAAGATTTTTATTTTAGAGTTTCAAATACTCTATTTAAGTCAGTTTTTTCTTTTCTCTAAAATATATAAAAATATATTTGTGTAGAGAATGAAATACATAATAGATTTATTTTCTTCTTTTTTTCCTCATATTGCATCTTTCAGGTTTCTGTTATGGGATATCAAGAAGTCTACTTCTCGTGTCATGTTTTTGATGGTATCAAAACAGGTTAAATACCTGCTATGCTTCCACCGTCATCTCTCTCCTCCTTCTTGGTACTGTTCTGTCCTCTTGATCAATGGAGACAACTACCTCAAAAACAAAAACTACAATGGATCAATCTCTTAATCCTTCAAGTCCTTACTACCTTCACCCTGGAGAAAACTCAGGTCTTAATTTTGTTTCTCAATCTTTAAATGAATCTAATTACTCTTCTTGGAGCAGAAATATAAAAAGTGCTCTTTTGTCCAAGAATAAACTTAAGTTCATTGATGGAAGCATAAAGACTCCCACAAGAAATGATCCTGTGTATGATGCATGAGAAAAATCGGATATGATGGTTCTTTCATGGATTATCAAAAGTGTATCCCCTCAAATTGCTGAGAGTGTTATATATGTGAATTATGCTAAAGATTTTTTTGGATGAATTAAAAGTAAGATTTTCTAAGGAGGATTACTTTAGGATCTTTGATCTCCTTCAAGAAATATATTCCACCAAACAAGGTGAAAGAAACATAACCCAATATTTTACTGATTTGAAAGTTATTTGGGAAGAATTAGAGTTCTTGAAGTCTATACCAGGTAACTCTTGCAATTGTGATTTAACTAAAATATTTCTCAAATATAGAAAAATAGAATATGCCATTTATTTCTTGAAAGACTTGAATGAAATGTACAATAATGTGAGAATGCAAATTCTTCTTATGGAACCTCTTCCCAACATCAACCGTGTGTTCTCTCTTATTGTGCAACAAGAGAGACAATTTATTGGAAATGAAGGACTTACTACTAAAAGAAAAATAATGGTTAACACCACTTATAAGTAGAATAAATGGAGGCAACAAGAACAAGGTTCTTGGAAAACATAAGGTCGTGGGAATAACTAGCATAGCCAAGGAAGAGGAAGAGGAAGAAATCCTAATCAAGGAAAACAATGTTCTTACTGTCACAAGATGAATCATACAGTAGATGAATGTTATTCTAAGCATGGATATCCACCATGGTATAAACAGAAAAGTGAATTCTCTAACACTAGTCAAGAAAAGGTGAATCAACAGAATTGGAATAAAGATAATGCAAATAAACAAATATGCAATCTAAGCATGAAGGATGACTCCTTGCAACTTAGAAATCAAAATCCTAAACAAGAAATTTGCTCTCTTACCTCAGAACAGATGCAAAGACTCTTAAAGATGGTGGAAATTCCTAATAATTTCGATCACACAGTCAATCATGTTTAAAGAAATATGGCTGACTCATCTAAACCTAATAATCAGCCAGGTAATTTTTCTTGGATCATTGACACAGATGTCACTGATCACGTTACACATGTCAAAGATTATTTTGTCACCTTTTACAAAATCAGTCCTATACATGTTAAATTGCCTAATGATTCTTTTATTACTACATATCATGCTGGTATTGTACAATTTTGTAGAAACTTTATCATTTTTAATGTCCTATATATTCTTGAATTTTCCTTTAATTTAATCTCTGTTCAAAGTCTTACTAAAGACCTGGACTACAAACTGACTTTTTCTTCTAAGTTGTGTCAGATACAAAATAGTTCTACATTGAAGATGATTGGGCATGCTAATCTCTACAAAGGATTATATTATCTGCAAGTTTTTCCTTCTATTCTTGATAAAAACTTTATCTCTATTAATGCAGCTTTGAGTTACAAAGAAACTGACATTAATCTATGGTATTATAGATTTGGACATCCTAAAAATAAAGTTGTTGAACAAATCTGTAAAAATTTTCCCTACATACAATCATCTTGTAAAACTATTTGCAATATTTGTCATTATGCTAAACAACATAAACTGTCATTTTCACAAAGTACTACCTTCTTTTCTGAAATCTTTAATATGATTCATGCTGATATATAGGGATCTATGCTTATACCTTCTATTCATAGTAGACATACATGGGTTTTTCTTATACATGCTAAGAGAGAAACTAGGAATCTACTATCAAATTTTATTGTGTACATTAAAAATCAATTCGGAAGAAGCATTAAAATTGTTAGATCAAATAATGGTCCAAAATTTGAATAGACTAAGTTAAATGATAATTATGGTATTATTCATAAAAAATGTTGTGTTGAAACTCCTTAATAGAATTCTGTTGTTGAGTGGAAATATCAACATATTTTAAATACAGCCCGCAACCCAATTTTTCAATCTAATAGTCCTAAAACATATTGGTCTTATACTATTTTCCATGTTTTCCATTTGATTAATAGGTTACCTACGAGTGTTCTTGATGGAAAAACGCCCTATGAGCTAATCTACCAAACACCACCTACATATTTGAATATGAAAATCTTTGGTTATTTATGCTTCGCTTTTACCCTTGAAAATAACATAAACAAGTTTGATTCTAGAGCCAAAAAAAGTGCTTTTCTTGAGTATAAAACTAGAATTAAAGGTTATGTTCTTCTTGATATAAAAACAAGAGAGATTTTTATAAACAAAAATGTAATTTTTTATGAAATTATTTTTTCTTATAAAAATTATAATAATGATTCTGATTCCAACAAAGGTAAAGAAAATAATCCTAATGTTTTCTTGTATGATTGTGGCACTGAAATTCAAATTCCTGTAATTAGTGCCAATGATGATTCCTCTATTAGAGAAGATTAGTTACTACCACTAACTCTCTTGAAGATGAAGAAAGACAATAAAACTGGAGACAATCTAACACAATTAAAAAAACTCCTGTCTACTTAAAGAATTATCACCATCAAGTCAGTCACTCATTTTTTATTAACAAGAATTTTGTTAAAGAAGAATATTCTTGAAATCAT